ATTAAGTCGCTTACAAATGCGACTTTACAACTAATATTTAATAAAACTATATAAAACTAATTATATCTATTTTCTTTTTCAATCCCAATCCCTTTTTCATAAAAATAACCAGTTTTATATGCTCCTTCTGCACTTCCCATTTCAGCAGACTTTTGATATTGATTAAATGCCCTACGTTCATCTTTTTCAACTCCAAGTCCATTTTGATAGCAAACACCAAGATTATATATTGCATCAACATTTTCCATCTCTGCAGATTTTTCAAAATGAATGAATGCATTATTTTCATCCTTTTCGATTCCGATTCCATGAAGATAGCAGTAGCCAACATTATATATTCCGTCTGCATTGCCCATCATAGCAGATTTCTGATAATAAATAAATGCTTCATGTTCGTCCTTCTCAATTCTGATCCCATGTTTATAACAATTTCCAAGCTTATATGTTCCATTATAATCCCCCATATCAGCAGATTGTTGATAAAATGTGAATGCCTTGCGTTCGTCATTGTCAACTCCAATTCCATTTTCATAACAATAGCCAAGAAAATATAATCCACTAACGTTACCCATTTCAACAAATCTTTTAAAATGAATAAATGCCTTGTGGTCATCCGATTCCATAAAGATAACAATAACCAACTAGTGATGTGTGACGCAACTCACGTGACCTGACGCAACTGCTCACGTGACCCTTAAAAACATATGTTTGAGTTGCGTCATGCGTCATGCGTCAGTGACGCAACATATGGTTTCGTCAGGTTGCGTCATGGTTTCGTCAGGTCTCATCAGTTGCGTCACACATCACTATAACCAACACGATGCATTCCATCTGAATCATCCATTTCAGCAGATTTTTGATAATAAAGAAATGCCTTATTTTCATCCTTTTCAATTCCAATTCCGCATAAGTAACAATCGCCAAGATTAAATATCCCTTTAGCATATCCCATGTCGGCAGATTTTTGGTAATAAATGAATGCTTTACGTTCATTCCTTTCAACTCCAATTCCTTTATAATAAAAAACTCCGACATTATTCGTACCTGTAGCATGCCCCATATCAGCAGATTTTTGATAATACATGAATGCCTTATGTTCATCTTTTTCAACCCCAACACCTTTTTCGTAACACATAGCAACTACATATGTTCCGTCAGCATCTCCCATCATAGCAGATTTTTGGTAATAAGTGAATGCTTTACGTTCGTCCTTTTCAATTCCAATTCCGTCTCGATAACAATAACCAACATTAAGTATTCCTTTAATATGTCCCATTTCTGCAGATTTTTGATAATATATAAATGCTTTGTGTTCATCCTTTTCGACACCGTTTCCAAGATGATAAGAACTGCCAAGATTAAATATTTCATCAGCATTTTCTATCTTGGTAGATTCTTGATTATTATTAAATTTCTTATTTTCATTCTTTTCAGTATCAGTTATATCATTCTGTAGATCTACCATTAGTAAACTTTTGCTATTTAGATTTTTAATCTTAGAGAATTCTTGGTTATTATTAAATTTGTCATTTTCATTCTTTTCAATACCATTTATATTATCACTATTCTCTAGGTTTTTCATTTCGGTATATTCTTGATCATGAATAAATTCTTTGCTTTTGTTCTTTTCAGCATTATTAATATCATCCAGAAGATCTAAATTTAGTATACTTTTGCTATTCTCTAGGTTATCTATCTCGGAAGATTCTTTATTATTAATAGATTCTTTGCTCATAATCTTTTCAGCATCATTTATAACATTCTCTGCACCTTTAATTAGCAAACTCTCATCGTTCTTTAAGTTTTCTTTAATTAATTCCATATTATTAAAATTATTAAAATAAATGATATTGAAAATGAACTCGAACAATATTATAATATTACAAAATAATGATTACCTAGGTTGTTAGACAACTTATTATTATCAGTGATGTTTAGAGGGTCGAATAATCTGCTAGAGTAAATTGCTTCTGGATGTATCTTGACAGAATCTTTTGAGGATGCATTAGATGCCAAAAATTTTTCAAGTATTTTATCAGCCTTCTTTATTTGTGCCACGATTTCTGTTGATTCACCATTCAAAATTTCATTATTCCATGTATCTATAATATTAAATATCTCTTTAGAGGATGGCCTTTTATCTCGTTTAATACTCCAACATTTGGTAATCAATTCAGCAACCAATTTTGGTACATGCGTTGGTATTTTTGGACGTAAACCACGGTTAATTTCACGTGCCAAATTTATATCATGTGGAAGGTTATGAAATGCAAGGAAACCTGATGCAATTTCATATGCTAAAATACCAAAAGAATACATGTCAGATCCCATACTATATTCTTTGCCATATAATACCTCAGGTGCTACATATGGCATTATACCATATATTTCATTTTTTGATCCTAAATTTGCTAATATTGAGAGTCCTAAATCTGCAATATATGCACTGTGAAAGCTACTGTGAGTCCCGGAATGTAACACGAGGACCCGGCAATCGGTCACGTGAAAAATGCAAGAAGTGCAATTAATTACATTTTGGATCGGGAATAATGTTGTTAGTCGAAATTATTTAGACATTTAGGCATTTAGGCAAATTGAATTTAGACAATTTCGACTTTGCCAT